TAACGTTACATTATACCTTACATCTAGAGCTATAACGTTACATTATACCTTACATCTAGAGCTATAACGTTACATTATACCTTACATCTAGAGCTATAACGTTACATTATACCTTACATCTAGAGTTAACGTTACATTATACCTTACATCTAGAGCTATAACGTTACATTATACCTTTCATCTAGAGCTATAACGTTACATTATACCTTACATCTAGAGTTAACGTTACATTATACCTTACATCTAGAGCTATAACGTTACATTATACCTTACATCTAGAGCTATAACGTTACATTATACCTTTCATCTAGAGTTAACGTTACATTATACCTTACATCTAGAGCTATAACGTTACATTCTACCTTACATCTAGAGCTATAACGTTACATTATACCTTACATCTAGAGCTATAACGTTACATTATAAATCAAGAGGCTTGCATATAATGAACATATTGACACGGGTGCAGAGTTGAGTCTGTACGGAACCTAGTAGTTTCAGATCCTTGTTTAACTTGCCGTACAGCAAGGTCATCCACTACTTTAGCCCGGCGAGGCACATAACTCCCTTATGCCTTACATCTAGAGTTAACGTTACATTATACCTTACATCTAGAGCTATAACGTTACATTATACCTTTCATCTAGAGTTAACGTTACATTATACCTTACATCTAGAGCTATAACGTTACATTATACCTTACATCTAGAGTTAACGTTACATTATACCTTACATCTAGAGTTATAACGTTACATTATACCTTACATCTAGAGTTAACGTTACATTATACCTTACATCTAGAGTTATAACGTTACATTATACCTTACATCTAGAGTTAACGTTACATTATACCTTTCATCTAGAGTTAACGTTACATTATACCTTACATCTAGAGCTATAACGTTACATTATACCTTACATCTAGAGCTATAACGTTACATTATACCTTACATCTAGAGCTATAACGTTACATTATACCTTACATCTAGAGCTATAACGTTACATTATACCTTACATCTAGAGCTATAACGTTACATTATACCTTACATCTAGAGCTATAACGTTACATTATACCTTACATCTAGAGCTATAACGTTACATTATACCTTACATCTAGAGTTAACGTTACATTATACCTTACATCTAGAGCTATAACGTTACATTATACCTTTCATCTAGAGTTAACGTTACATTATACCTTACATCTAGAGTTATAACGTTACATTATACCTTACATCTAGAGTTAACGTTACATTATACCTTACATCTAGAGTTAACGTTACATTATATCTTACATCTAGATAAGGATCCAGTTAGTGACGAGCTATGAAGTAATCATTCGACCTCATTAATACTGATCCTGTCAGTTACGAACTATGGTCTATGAAGTTATTATTCGACCTCTTTGATGCTGATTCTGTCAGCGAAGAGTTATGAAGAAATTAATGAAGACCTCGTTGATATCCTCGTTCAACAAATGTAATGTTAACTCACGAATCACGATGTAAGGTATAATGTAACGTTAACGGTATAATGTAACGTTAACTCTAGATGTACGGTATAATGTAATGTTAACTCTAGATGTAATGTATAATGGAACGTTAACTCCATATATAAGGTATAATGTAACATTATAACTCTAGATTTTAAGGCACAAGTAAATGGTAACTCAAATTGTTAGATACAAGGTAATATTAACTACATATGCTAAGTAAAAGGTAAGGTTAACTCTAATTGTAAGATACAAGGTAATATTAACTACATATGCTAAGTAAAAGGTAAGGTTAACTTTAAATTTGAGGCAAAAGGCAATGAGTAGTGTACAACGGAAGGGGACCATTCTCATGAAGGAGCGTCAACTTATCCGTAAGTAGCCCTAGCACAATCCTTAAATACCGTTAGTTCATCCTTAAACCGTTATAAAGACTTGAAATACCGCTTATAGAAGTCCCGATACAATCCTTGGTAGTCCTTTTCGATATTGGTTGAAATCCGTATTCGTTAATCTTAAGCAAATATTTGAATAAATTTCTTTCGTCTTCTGAACTTGAGATCTTTCCTTCATAAGCCCGATTATTAGCTGAGAACTAGTAGCGTCGTTGTTTACAATTACTGAGATTCGGCAGAGAGACTGGTGCCACCCGATAAGCCGCTCAGGCGCTTAGCTTATAATAACATCTACGACATTCAAATGCATTTTAAAGCAATTTGCCCTTGAGTATGATAATTATAACCAGTTTTATCGTGTTCGGCGTCCTCGGAAACATAGGGTTACATGATTTTCGCTTCGATTTTCATCAACAAAAATCCTTCTATTTTAAAATCTCTGGCCCAGCTGCCTGCTGAGTTTCAAAAGGTGATACCAGATCGAGATGCTGCGATAATTGCGCAGCTCATCTTAATTGGATCCAATTACACTTGATACACTATATTATTCCATATAAGGCCTGGTCAGGAAGCTTGAGCTCTGGTGACGTCACGAGATATCCTAGTCAGCATTCGACACGTTACGAATGTGATCACGTGACCAAGGATTTACGAATCAAGGTCACGTGATAGGATTGGCGGTCACGTGACTTCAGTTAACTGAAGTCAATTATCCCTTATATGGCACAAGTAGCTGCAACTGATCAGCTCTTAATTGGGCTGCAATCATTGACAGGCCTATAATTATTCATTTTTCAATGACCGATATCTCGATTTTTAATAGGATTAGAGCGTAAAACGAATGCTTCCCGGAATCAGCATAATAGTAGAGGCTCTTACGGGCAAAAAGACTTGTTTTCTGCTACGAGTTTAGAGACCTAACCGCTAATTGGACACAATAGTATGATGTCTAAGGATTGATAATATGTTAAGAAGTATAAATTTGGCCTTATTAGTCACGTGCTATACCAATGCGCGTTTTAAACTTTGACAGTCTATTACTCTAAGGCAAATAGAGTAATTATATTCATATTTTGTCAGCAATAAGATCACATTATTTTCTATTTGGTGTGAAAATATGAGCTAGAACGGACATAATCTCGCTGAGTTATAGCTGTTTGAAATTTATGATGAACGCGCGGGTGCCAATTGATAACAACTAAATGCTTTTGCGCGTAGTGCGCGTCGAAAATTTGGCAAAAACGCTTGCGGAGTGACAATATTCAAACTTCGATAAAGTATATGAAATGGGTACTTTTCGGAAAGGAAAAATTTAGGCAAACACGATGTGACTATTTTTGGATTGATTTAATACAACTGCCAAAAATTATTCAAACTTCAAGCAAAAAAGTCAAAATTTTTACCAGTTTTTTGGATTTTTACCCCCAAAAAAATAGAGGGATTTTAAAAATTTTTATATCATCTTGTGCGGCTGTGTTTTAGCTATCTCCATGCAAGTTTTGCCGACATGCCAACAAAATTAACTTGTTCAAAATATCAAAAAACATGGTTTTTTGGCCTATTTTTTGCCCAAAAATCGGTTTTTTGCAATTTTACCCCCAAAAAGTCAGTCCAATCATCTTAAAACCACTTTTAATCGATTCTACGGTCAAAAATACGTCTAGTAAGGTGTATCTGGGGTCCCTAGCGTATCGAGCAGACAATGCCCGTAAGAGCTTCTACTATAATAAAGAGAACAAGATCCTGTTGGATTCTCAATTATTCATCACCCACCGGTAGTCCCTAGGGGTTCTCGTATCTATAGGGATCGAGTATTAGCAATGAGGCCCTCCCCGGGTTCATTCCTCTCGCATTTGCTGTTAATTTGCAGAGTCATTGTTAATCTGGAAATGGCCCCGCCCTTACTTGGTGTAGCTCCCCCTCCCCCCAAATTAAACCCCAGAAATGAAGGTGATGGTGTCGTGAAAAAAATGAGTTTATATAATGGCAATAACACAGAAAAAAAGGGGACAAAAAAAGAAACACGGAAAACGATCGTAAAAAATAATTTCTACAATAATACAGCCTGTTTGTACTACAACCTACATTGGCCCCGCCCTTATTATAACAGTTATTATCGGGATAATAGTAATACCAATTATCGAAGTGACGAGGTAACAAGGTGAAAAACACACTGTATCTAGGAAACATGAGTGAACGCGTCGCAAGGAGAAGTTGTGACAGTTTACCCGAAAATGTAGCAGATAGAAGATCAGAAAATCTAGAACAAAATAAAAATGATAACAACTATATCATAATGTTCATACTTTTATAGGAACCAGTTATACACCGAGCAAAAGTTTTTTAATTTGTTTATTGGCATAGCCTTTATAAAGATTTTTTTAAACTTTTGAATAATGAATAAATGTACTGTACAAAAATTCAGGACGAGTCAAACAGACCCTGATAAAATACCTATAAAACATATTAAATAGGTGAAGGTGATAAAGAACTCACGTGAAGAAAAAAACTGGTCTCTCGAATTCGGTATTATACAGGTGTTATAATGAGAGGGGGTATTTTATAAATAATGAGTTACCTTAACTGGAAAACGACTGCATGTGGCAAGAATTTCATTAATAAATTCAATAGAATCAAGCTGACGGATACAATATTATAAAACTAGCGGATACAATAATATGAGGAGATACGTACGCTGGATAACAAATGAAAAAGTTTAAAAGGAGCCCTTATATAAGCCCTACCGCGTAGCTCCCACACCACAGAACCGGCCGTGAACCACTACTTGGAGAATAGGCAGACGCTGCATAATTTCTATGCGTGAGTTAAGTGTTAAAATATGAAGGTGTCTCTCGGAGATCGTACGAGATAATACAATACAATACAGAGAAAACACGCTAGAATTATATATTGAAAGTTTAATCAACTAATAAATAAATAAACGATTTAACAGTTACGATTAAACGATTTAACAGTTACGATTACGCGATTTAACAGTTACGACGTCACTTATTGGTGACATGATATGATCTCCGTCGACTCCGTGGGACCCATAATAATGAAGGGGCTTGGCCGTCGGTATCACAGGTAATCACTGTTGATAATCTCATTAGATCAGAGGTGGATAACCTGCTAGCTGTTAAAGTTATGCTCATGAGAGGAGCCAGCCAACAATGTGCTTTTATAGGTAAGTACTACTTAGACTCCTTAGACTCCTTAGACTCCTTAGACTCCTTAGACTCCTTAGACTCCTTAGACTCCTTAGACTCCTTAGACTCCTTAGACTCCTTAGACTCCTTAGACTCCTTAGACTCCTTAGACTCCTTAGACTCCTTAGACTCCTTAGACTCCTTAGACTCCTTAGACTCCTTAGACTCCTTAGACTCCTTAGACTCCTTAGACTCCTTAGACTCCTTAGACTCCTTAGACTCCTTAGACTCCTTAGACTCCTTAGACTCCTTAGACTCCTTAGACTCCTTAGACTCCTTAGACTCCTTAGACTCCTTAGACTCCTTAGACTCCTTAGACTCCTTAGACTCCTTAGACTCCTTAGACTCCTTAGACTCCTTAGACTCCTTAGACTCCTTAGACTCCTTAGACTCCTTAGACTCCTTAGACTCCTTAGACTCCTTAGACTCCTTAGACTCCTTAGACTCCTTAGACTCCTTAGACTCCTTAGACTCCTTAGACTCCTTAGACTCCTTAGAGTACTTTTTTAGTTCATTTGCGATGCAAAGTTAAATTGTTCATTAAATTTATCTGCAGCTTTTATCATTCCACAGCTCTAATTATGTGAGCGTAATTTTCATACGAAGATACGAGAACATTGTTTCTTATTCACCATGGTTCTGTATCGAGGCTTCACTTTTTTTTTGAAATTCAGTAATAGCGTCAAACCTTACATAATCTCTACACATCTGTTTATATTATTTAGGATTTACTGATGAGGCGATTAGCGGTATTTGGAAGTGGATGAACGGTAAAGATGTGACCTACACTAACTGGGCTTATCACAAAACAAGTAACTATTGACTGTACTTTTTAGGTCCAATCTATATAAGGGTCAAGGTCTTAACGTGTTTAATTCGAGTAATCTTATTAATTAATAATTAGACTAATTACATCAAGAATCTACAGTTAAAGTATAAACGTATACAACAACAATTTCCAGGCAAGGGTTGGGACCAGCCTAATGATGGTTTTGGGTACGGTGAAGAGGACTACACTGTGATGTGCCGATACCCCGACAGCAATCAGAACCTCAAAAACGAGTTTAAGTGGTTTGACGTCGGGCCTCCTCGGAATTATTTCCAAAACGACAAGGTCAATTTCGAGTTGGCGTACTCTTTCTGTACAGTTTCTGCTAATTTTAGTAAGTAAAGGTTTTTATTAGTTTGCACATTAATCCAGTAGTACAATGTTTAAATTTATAAAATAAGCTGTCCGTGAAAATGATTCCCTCTTTTCTGATTTCTTATCATCTTTTTACAGTTAAACCCTTCGTGCCACTGATTGAACAACTATTAGGCAAAATTACCAATTTAAACTAAGACATTCATTTTAATTTAGTTATTTTATCGGATATGCTTTAAAATAAAAATTTGTCTTAAAGCCTGTTAGTACTAGCGGCAATGCATGGCTGTATTTTAATGAGGTGAAATAAGGTTTTATAGAACAGCTTCTCCAATTAATTAGCCAATTAACAAGCTAATTAAATAATTGTTCAGAGGGAACGGAGAAGGGATGTCCACGGCCACTAAGACCTTGTGGAGGAGTATACGTTAAAAGATCCAACACAAAGATCATTGCACATGGGAAATATCACAACATAGAGTGCTATACAGGATACAGGTGAAATAACGGCATAATAACCGTGTAGACTGTTTACTTGTTTATCAACTGAATAAAAACACTCATGAGGTTATACTTATAATTTTTGTTTGACATCGAAACGTAACTCTCTTCATTTTACAGATTACTAATTATGTTTGTTGTACTATAGTCCTTATTCAGGGGGTTTGTGAAACTTTATCGAGATGGCAGTCGACCAACAAACTTCGACCCGCGACCGAACTTTTGAGGGGTCTCGGACTCCGGACGCCCATTGGTGCCCGCGGCACAGCCAAGCCCATATTTTGTCCAATTTTGGCTAAATTGTGCATCACCTTCAGAGTTAGAGGGGTTCAGTTGCTAGTTTATAATAATAACTATAGTGTCAACAAACATAATTTCCTATTAGTGTTATCTTGCAGACATATAAGTGGCTATGGTTTCTGGTAGTTACCGCCCTAATTCACCACAAAAGGGATTCCTTTGGGAATTATATCTTCAATTATATCTTTAATTACGTTGGCTTCACCGCAGGATGATAGGAGAAGGAAAGATTAGTTGCCACAATGGAGTTGCATCCCGTATACCACAGTGCATCCAGGTAGCTATTATCATCATATTCAATAGGATTATCTATAATCTGTGTCACCAAACTAAACCAATAAGTAATTTTAGATTATTATATTTTTCTATATTTGTATAATAACTTAATAAGTATATTGACGTAGTGGATGGTTGAGGGGGTTTTAAGCACAGGTCACTCTCAAATCCTAAAGATAAGCAGTGGCCTTCGGCACTTCAAACCTCTTCAAACCTCCCCTGATTTATTTATTATTGATATTGTTTGATTGTGCCGTAGAAATAAATATTTGTTTTATTATATTTGTTTTATTAATAACAGATAGAATGATCATGTATCTTATATTACAGTGCAATATGCTTCTGGAGGGATCTTATAGGTGATGAGACATGATCTTTAGTTTTATAAGCCTCCAAATAACATGTGTTAATAATCTCCAGGTGAATATACAGTACGGGACGGGCCTTCAGCTAGAAGAAGGAGATGATGACGTTCCCAGAACATTCTCATTCGATGACTACGACGCAGCGGCAGACATGAGGGTCAGAAAGACGAAGGATTGTTTTGGTGATAGTGATAAAGATGAACCAATTACCGATATCGTTATGTATTACACCACTACTGAAGATGGTGTAGGTGATTCTGGTGGTTCTGATGATGAGGGTGATTCCATTCCGAGAGGCTTTTTTGATGACTAAATAATTACTTTTAAAGAAATTTGGCATGGTGGTGACTCTAAATGTACATAATATTATTCTCATTTAATGAGATATAAAGATATAATTATACATTACCGCAACAATTATGTTCAATTTCTTCCGTTTGATTGTATTTAAGTATTTAATTTAAAGAGGAAATCGTAATTTGTACATCAATTAATATTCATTAATCCAGAGACACGTGTAAATGGATTTGATGAGCAATGGTTAATTACTAGAGTAATGGTTACAAAATGCACACATGGTGGTTAGTGGAATGGTGTGTTATCAGTCACATGATATCCTGCATTCTCTTCCAGATGCAGCAAGAAAAGAAGTAAATAAAAAAATATACTGTGATGATAGTTTGACACCGGAAATTTTCAAAATATAATTAATTTGTTACGAATCACAATGATAAATTGAATGTTGTAAACTCAAGATTTGATACTCCAAACTCATTACTCAACAACATGTACATCTGAGAACGAACTCAATTGAACACCAATTATATGAAAGCGATCGAAAAGTCCTCATTATTCGTGTAGATGATGTCCGTTAATTCCTTTCTTAACAGATTTAAAAGACAATAGACCAGAATTTAGCGAAATGTTATGACCATTAAGATCTTGGCATGACACTAACACCTTGTTGAGACACCTCTTGTAACACTCCGCACAGAGGAATGCAGCATGATATGAGGAAGCTTATCATGAAGCTCTCATCTATTCCCGCCTTTTTAACCACCTTTTGTCTTATTTGGGCTCTGCGGGAAGGAGGAATGTGAGAGGTAATTTTTCTTAATTTCAAAATAGAATGTCGCAATTAACTGGACAAGCGATACATTTGAGAAATTTTCAGACAAATTGAAGTTAAATAAAAATCACTTGTTTTAATGTTTACAGGTAATATACCTTATCGGACTTTATTTGAACGGACATGAATTAGTCGCTGGAACCCCTAGCGTTCATATCAATGTCCGTTCGAATAACGACCGATAAGGTCAGTATATCGTATAAACTGTACCTGAAGTATCCGTATACGATAGGACAAACAGAGAGGATTCCCTGAAGCAGGCAGTTCTCGCCGACTGATTCAGCTAACTTTCCAGAGGTCCAACAGGGCACAAAGTAGGTGATCAAACCTGTAGAGTAGTTATTGTCGTTATTATTAAATGGTTATCGTTATAGTTTTGATATAGTGTTATTTGTATTTTAAAAGCAAAATATGTTATCTTTCTATTGCCTCAAGTATAATAAAATTAAGAAAATGATCAAGCAAATATGTTATCTTTCTATAATTGCCTCTAAGTATTATATATTTAAGAAAATGATCAAGCAAATATGTTATCTTTCCATTGCCTGTAAGTATTATATAATTAAGAAAATTATCAAGTAATTGTCTACTTACAAGCACCAATGTCACTGAAGCATCCCCACAGCGGTTGTTTCCAGCTACCCATACCGTCAGTTTCTTCTAAATATGGTACAGATTATATAAACACTCCTTATAAGATTATCACGTGGTTAGAGTTAGATTATATAGTCACAGTAAGTTTTAGATGAAGAAGAAGATCAAAAAAGGAAGAGGAAAGACAGAAGTTGGGAAAAATATTTCATGATAGAAAAGATATGCTTGCTGTTTGTTTCTTTGTCTAATGTAAAATTTAAAACAATACCTACCCTCGCGACAGATTTTGAACTTTTTAAATTAAGAATTTATTGTGAAATGAATGATGATATTATTTGGATTACCCACGTTTCGTTACATGGTTGAGGAGCGACTCCATTACTGATTTACTTCACAGAAATTACCTCTTCCAAGGATCAAAGCTAAGTAACTCGAGAACAACAAGGAACGAATTGTGATAAAGATTCGAAAAAGTGTTTCAATGAAACAGTGGAGCTATTTAGCCTTAACATTTTATCTTGCGGCAGCTCAGATGTAAGGGTGACTCTATTTCATGTGTATCAGTATTACCTCATTGTAGAGCAATTAAAAGCATTAGTTCAATCTAAAGTAGTGTACTGTGTCTAAGTAGTGAGTACCTATATGACAATTGATATACTCACTACTTAGACACAGTACACTACTTTAGATTGAACTAATGCTCTTAATGTGACCAATTTATTTTTTCAATCGAACATTTGTAAAAATGAATAAAAAACGGTGATCGCGCTTGCCAGCACTGTGATAACCAAACACTGAATTATAATCTGAAAACCAGAAAAATACATCACTGACGATATTATACATCTGTATCAAATAAGCAAATATCAATCTTAGCTGCAACCAATACCTTCTTACCCTTCTCGATATAAATACACTATATATATCATACTGACAAAACGAAACGGAGCACAGTATTTACTACCCCGCTATATGCGACAAAGATGTTGTATAACATTTGGAAAGAACAAAGCAAGATAGCGAAGTAAGACGCAGTTAAAACGTTGAATGTTTTACAAAGTATGCAGCATCAATCATAATGTCTCAGCCTACCAACCTGGAAATCTAAATCTAAATAATGTATAATTCATTTGAATCCAATGAAGCTTATATAGCAGTAATAAAAGCAACTGAAGTGAGTGAACTGAAGAGATGTTGTCAAACGAGCACACTGAGATACTATCAACAGCAAGCAATTTATAGCGGTGGCAGTACACTGGAAGTTGAAGCTATAAAAATATAACTAACGACACGGAACAACGAACCCATTAGTCGCCTTTCAATTCGTTAACATGGCAACAACCACTCACAAGTCACCATCACACTGTCACGTGACGTCATCACACTGTCACGTGACGTCATCACACTGTCACGTGATCTGTATACCGCCTTGAAATACACCGTTATAAGCCACGTCTCAGCTGACCTATCGGGCAATGTATTAATAGTGTTTCTCTGCTTCCTGATTTGATAATGTCACGTGATCAGTTTTGTGAGCTGGCAGAGTTATAATAACATTGCAATGGTCAGGTCGTAGAATAAACAATCGGGTAGAATAAACAATTATGGGTGTTTGATTTCAGATCAAGAGTTGGTAATGACCAGCAAATGTACAGTTGACTGGAAAGGTATTGTATCAGTATAATGTCCTTAAAATGTAATCAAGATATCTTTGTCTGTACCAATATAAGTTCATTTCAAGGAAGCAGCAAGTGTAGCTGCAGGAGTAGAGCACACAGTTTTACATTTTATATGTTAGTTTTAAAAGCTATTGATCAGCTAGCTAGACTAGGGTGTAAGTTTCGGCTCAGTGTGCCCTAATATGGGCATCACGTGCTCAGTGTACTATTTCAGAAGATAAAGTTAACTGAATAGTGTTTTGGTTCTGCCTCGTTGGTCTATCATGGGCTACATCACCGGGGGGGCAGGGGGGGGGGCAGCTGCCCCCCTGGGATTTGGGGGACAAGTTTACAAAAACATGAAAATTTATTCTTCAACATAACATTAAACCAGACGGCTATGGTATACACCCACTGCTCTGTAGCCCCACTGCACTGTAGTGTAGCCCCCCCCCCCTCCCCCCTGCTGCTAACGTAAATTCTTGTCCCTCAAGTACTGGAAAATGCGTCAAAATTGTCTAATTTCCTTAAAAATTTTCCCCCCTACCCCCCCTACCCCCCCTGGACCCCACAGGGGGCTTCGCCCCCTTGCCCCCCCTGGGTTGAAGACGTGATGTAGCCCCTGTCTATGTTATAAAAGCAATGTAGTCGTGTTATTGTGTCTCATTTAATCAAGGACAAACGAAAATCGCGGCACGTACTACGTGTTTTCCTTTAAATCTGGGGACCAAAATATTACCACGTTCTATATAAATATATGGAACCAATCATAGCCGTCCGAATGTAGATTCGGACTAGTATATATATAGGAACCGACTGTATATTCGACTGAACCCGGTTCAGGCCAAATATCTGAGTAGCATTAAACGTGAACAAAAGTATGTAGTTTCCAGAAAGGCTTTGAAAATATTTTTGACTCGAGTCATTCTCAATACGTACCTCTGAAGGAAGGGCTCCCGCTTTCTGCTTTCGAGCTCGTATCGCAAAAAGAGGTACGCCTCGAGGCCAAAATTGTACATCGGGGAGAAGGTACTATAAGGTACGGACTTCAGAAAACCGAAAATAATATGTTCGGCTCATAATGATCAGGGTAGCCACTAGCATGAACCGTGGAGAAAAGTGGTTTCCAGGAATCCACTTTCAGAGATAACCGTCAGCATTTCTGAACCCACTCGCCCGCGGACGTAACCTTGTTAGCCTAAAATTTCTCTAAAACTTGACCACTAGACATAAACATGATCACTAGACATAAAGTTAGCCACTAGACATAAAACTTGACCACTAGACATAAAGTTAACCACTAAATTATGTATATATCACCTTAATAATCTCAGAATGTGTGTTTTCTGTCTGTCTGTCTGTCTGTCTGTCTGTCTGTCTGTTTGTAATTTCCGAATGTAATGTTATACCATAAGCTTATTAGGGGAGGGGGACTGTTAGTGTTTGGGGTCTGTTTGGACTGCAGAGAGAGAGAGTTCATACGACAATATTATGCGTGTTTTCAAATATTAGTGTCTGCCCACACTACGCCATGTGGCGATGAGCTCTAAACACACTACGCGCCTCGTTGTGTGATTCCGGTGACTAGTGGCGGGAGCTCTAAACACACTGTGCCTTATGACCCACGCCATGTGGCCCGTCGCAACATGGCGTAGTGTGGGCAGGAAATCCGTGCCTCTGAATAGAGGCGCGGATTTGCTAAATCCACGCCAAGTAAAGTGGCACAGTAGGTTAAATGTGGCCCGTAGCCACATGGCGTAGTGTGGGCAGACCCTAATAGTCGGTGTTCAGACCTTATGATCATGGAATGTGGTGCCTAATGGCTAATAATGACTTAATTATCCAGAAGAATGAACTGATTATGAGATTATTGTTTCAGATACTATTGGGTCACCTAATGCGGGTTTTGACTTTACTGGGCCTCGCTCAGCCTGTCATTCCGCCGAATCTCTATTATGTTTATGAACATAATAGCCTGAGGTCCCCAGGTAAGTTTTGACTCAGCGGGTAATTACTCCTACCCTTTTTAACTGCGGCAGTGAAATCCCGACCGAAGGCCGGGTTACACTAGTATGTATATAATATATATTATGTAAATAAGTAATTGTGGGTGGCGTCGTCTGCACTGACAGTGCTCAATCGGCAAGCCGAGATCTAGATACAAATTGAAACGACCGGTTGAGTCAGACAAATGTTTCAATCATGATACAAAACCATGATATCATCAGTGACAACTGAGGTAGGAACTAAAATTAAAATTACAAAGCTAAAAGTTTACATAAATAGAGATAGACCAACAAACTAGGACCGGTGACCGAATTTTAGGGGAGAACTTTAAAGGGGGTCTCGGACTCCAACTGCCCAACACGGCCCGCGGGGCTGCCACGCCCATATTTGGACCAAATTAGGCCCAATTTAGCCAAATACCATGAACAAACCCAAAACCCAGATTTTAGGTGCTCTACTTCTAGCTATTTAATTAATTAATTAATAATTGGTCCCCTGAACTCGTACATGAATTTTATAAGCTAAAAACTATATGCCCATATTTGGGCATACGCACCAAATTTGATCGATTTGGCCCATAAATTGGTCTAATATGAATCGTGTTCAAATGACAAATACTCGCAAAAAATGAACAAAATCGCCCATATCTCAGTTCGCGATATTTACGCAACTGATTGCGCTCAAAACAATACAACTCAATATTTCAACATTTTTTCATGAAATTTCCAGAATCATCGTAGGATCGCCTGATGACTTTAATTTTGGGGTGGAATCTTGAGTTAGGCCTTTTAAAAATTAGCTGCTGCTTGTTCCGAGATTTTATGAGAAATGAGGCGTTCCATGTTTTTCATACTGCTCATGTATGAGAAAAGTGCTAAAATATTGATTACGTAATATGTGAACGACCCTTAAGTTATTTAGAACATCAATACAATGTAGTTGAAGAGTTAAAAATACTTACAAATTTATCACTTATATCATGCATGAAATTGAAATGTTGTTGTCTTTAATAATTCGCTGTGTCGAAGTCGATCCACTGTTTTTTCTACCATCGCAATGCCAATGTAATTATAAAGGCTGCCCTTAGTTTTAAATCGGATTTCCAAAGTTTCCGGTTTGGTTACCACTGGTCTTGCTCTTCCATAGAATTTACTACTAAGATCTGAACAACACTTAGCACCAAGCCAGCGATGATAGCAATTTGAGGTGAAGCAAAAGAAACCAAAGCGGTGCCTGCTACCGCTGCCATCGAACCTGCACCTTGCATTAAGCCAGATCCAATAGCCATCCCATTTTTTCCGAAATATCGAACGTCGTAGCTTATGTAATTCTTTTCCATCGAGATCATCCCGTATACCAACTTCCCTAAAAATGTCGTGACCACAATAACGATTAGGTTTTCTTCGATAAGCAGCAACATCGTGTAGCTGGCTAAAATTAGCACGGCAAGCGAGGTGTACAAAATTCTAAATCTAATCTTCTTCCTGATGATCGGGGATGCAATTCTTCCTAGTCCTGCTGCTCCCGCGACAAATGCTAGGAGGAAGAATTGATTTCCTTGAGTGACTGTTTCACAGTTGGTACCTTCTCCTCCAACTTCTTTAACGTTGAAAAGTCGTATCAATGAAGGTAAGAGTAGAATAGTCCCCCAGCCTTGGTAGCTATTAATGATGGCAAAAAAGCACAGTTTAAATAGTCTCATTTTGAAATTTGGTACCTCCACAGCTTCTACTTCTCCATCTTCAGTTGGTTCTGCTTCTACTTCTCCACTTTCAGTTGGTTCTGCTTGGGTGATCGTTTCCAAATTGGAGCTGTCTTTTAAGAAAATGTGAAGGATCAAAATTGGAGGAATGAAAATTGGAAGAGAGGCGATAAGCAGGAAAGTTCTCCAGCCGAGCAGATCTAGACTGAAATACGCGATAACTGGAATCCAGATACTGCCTACAGAGTAACCTAAGCTGCTAACCAGTATCAAAGTATTCACAATCTTCTTACTGCTAGCTTTCTCGGCCTGAAACACGTAGGTGACAGAAATGTTTAATCCCACAGTGAAGCCGATGAGGGCCCTTGAGAGTAGGAGAGTCAGGTAGTTCCCCGCCACAGAACAGACGATGGTGCTCACTATACTACCGTAGAGGGACAGGAGGATGGTTTCTCGTCGGCCGAATCTGTAATTAGGATAATTTGAGGGAATTGAACAGTTCTCAACAACCAAAAATGAGCAACTAAACACCAAACCATGATGTTGCCTAGTATTAGTAATAGTATAAACGTGGCTCAAACCAGAACCCTCTCGCTTGCAGTAGCGCCCGCCTATTTACTTATAGTTGTAAAACAAGTTAAGCGCGTCACGCAGCTCAGTAGTCAGTACGCGTAGACAATTGGCTATTTGAAGTATGATAAACGGTACGCTGTAAGTGTATACAAGTATACAGTAGGTACACTGTATACAAGTATACAGGTACCTCGAGCGAGGTAAGATGAGTGGAGGACTTCCAGTCCTCGTATTCACAGTTCAGTATTTAAATATTACAATCGCACTGAAGCTCTTACCGAGTAGATAAGGGAGCTGCAGCAAAGGTAGTAATCCCCATTGTTAAATAAAGAATGCAGCCCAAAATTCCTTCCTGCCAATCATTAACTCCAATTTCGCAGGCCACATATTGTGTTAAAACACCTGCAGAATTTCAGAGTCATGCAAAATCCTTGATAATGGTAGCGTAATGTAAAATGTTTATAAGAAACTGCTTAATCTGTTAATTTTAATTCAGTTTTTTTCAAAGTTATCATTGTTATGAAGCTCAAAGTCAAATTCCCAAAATACCTGGTAAATATATCTCAATGCCATCCCCGACATTGATGAGCAGTCCCAAGAAAAGAAGAATCCAATCCTTTCTTGTCCAATCCTTTCTTGTCCCATCCTTTCTTGTCCAAGTATCGTCCGTCTTTTGGAGAAGATCACTTTGTTCGTCTGAGCTTTCTCCCATTATATTAGTAGCTGTTAAAAATGAGATCTAAGTAAAAAAAGCAAAGCTGCAGCACAATAGCTCATATTGTTCATGTTGCACTGCCGGCCAACAAATTTTATGTTTTGCTGCTGTAAATAATCCATTTTTGTGGAATATTATGCCGAGATAGCAGTATTTTTCGGTGTGCTGGATGGGCTGACCTCCCAATGCAAATGTTTCACAGGACTGCTTTCTTTTGGGAGGGCTGAATATAACAATCTCAGTTTTTAAAATATTTACTTCAAGGCCCATGGAGTTACAGAAATTAAATAAAATGTTGACATTGACTTGGGACTTAGAGCAAGAAGGACAAGATCGTCAGCCCAGAGCAGATGTGATATCAGAACATCAGCAAGAGCTGGGTAGTCACCAGCAGATTTCAGGAGAGATGAAAAGTCATTAATATAGATTTTAAAAAGGTCTGGTGATAGGGGGTGTCCTTGCTTCGTTCCTTTGCCAATATTAATTTTAGGCGACAAGAGTTTGGAAATTTTTATATGGGCAATTGAGTTTTTGTAAATATCACTTAAGCAGTTGAAGAAGTTGAAGAAGTTACCGGTTATTCCAAGGAATGCAATTTTGCACAGAAGGAGGTCCATACATACAGTGTCAAAGGCCTTTCTTAGATCAACAAAGCATGCATAAAGACGAGCTTTTTTTGTGTATTTGTCAATGACTGTCTTGAGGGTGAAAATGTGATCGTTAGTTTGGGCACCCTTCGAAAGTCCAAGCTGTTCTTTTGGGTCAGGACAGTAGAGCTTTTTGAAGTGTAAGAGACGTTCAAGTATAATGCTTGCTAGAGAACAACTTATCCATACAACTGCCAACTGCTAACGCTCTGTAATTGTCTGGGCTGAAGGGGTAGGGCCTGTCGTGATATCATGGATCGCTTAGGTTTCACCAGGATCTGGTAGTCCTCATAATTCTACGGCCTATGTGTATCATTTGTCATCTCGCACAACTCATTAAGAATCTTATGAATTTGGCATGAGAAAATTTGCAGCCTCAAGATCGGGTAACAGGGAGCTGACCAGGCCAGAACCCAGTTGATTGGGTCTGAGGTCACGTGATTATGAGCCTGAGGTCACGTGACTATGACGTCACCAGAGCTTGTTCTCCGATTACCGCTCATTGGACCAGGTGAGCTAGCATGCTTGTGAATGTGAGTGTAAGTGCAGCTGTACTGTAGTTAATATCTAATCCACCCCCCCCCCCCCCCCCCCCCCCCAAACAAAGAACTTAAACTTAAAGAGAACTGAATGTTAGTGAACTGGAAGTCAGAAGTGGAGCAGCTATATGAGGACAGCTGTGCTCATCGTACAGTATTTTCGAAAACTTCACAAACAACTAAATAGCAAAAATCACCACACAAAACTACACAACGAAACAATTTCACACATACAAATCACAACGACTTAATATACACTTTAGGTAAAGTCATATTATCATACTGATAAGCCCGAAAATCGAGATAAGGGCACTATATTGTAACATTTGATTTAGCGAATATTTTTAACAAATAAGTAGATAAGACTCAGATCACGATTCTGTAGCATACAGGACCTCCGGTTTTCGTGAAAGAATCTGATTTGCACTAGTATAGATATATTTTACGTTATTTATAAATTTATACATTTTTTATTCTCCAATTCCTCCACAAGCATAAGAGTTAACTTAAAATGGCAGCGAATGGAAATGTTACTGATACTTCTGGTCATAAAATCAAAATAAAATGTGGTAGCTGTAGCGGCTGGTGTTATTCTTCCAAAAACATCCGCAGCTGTTCATGGTGCCAAAACAACGTCCACGTCAAATGTTTTAAGGAAAATTTAGGTTGTACAAGCTGTTGTGAAAGTCTTATTCCTGGATTTTACGCGACTTACTATGAAATTTACGATGACTACAATAAGCTTAATTGCGCTATTTATAATCCATACGCTCAAAATAGTCGATGTAATCTTATTGGAGACGCCATGACCAATGAAGAGCACCAGGATTCAACATGGAGTGACATTTCGGCTTTCCTAACTCACTGTCAGTATAAACAGCAACGTAACGTAAAAAGGTCGACATCCTCTCAACTTAAAACATTTTCCATGAATATCAGATCCCTTTTCAAAAATATTGATCAACTACGAGAAGATATAGAAATATATGATAAGTATGATGTATTGTGTTTTAACGAAACTAACTGCACACTAGAAAAATTGCCTAACGGAATAAACGACATCACATTAAATGGATTCCATGAACCGTATATCCAAGATCCCATCCGCACATCGGGTAAAGGTGGGGGGCTTGCCATATACATACACAAACGTGTAGCTGACTCTGATAAAATTGATATTTTCAATCCCAACCCTGAACCCTCAAATACTAGCGGCGAATTTCAATTTATCAAGATCCACCAGTGTAAAGGATATAATAGAATAAAGATAATTGGAAATGTTTATCGCTCTCCCGCTAGAAAACCTGAAGCATTTCTTGAAATTTTTAAAAGTACGCTTCACAACCTGGGAAGACACTCTCGCAAACATATGACGTTACATGGAGATTTTAATCTAAATTTACTGAAGCACAGTAGCAACCAGGCATGTCAAAGCATTATAGATATTGCATCCTCTTACGGTTTCATCCAAATTGTATCACGTCCAACTCGCATAACAGACCACAGTGCCACGCTTATTGATCATATCTACACGAACAATCTTGAAGATACAATAAGCTGCAACGTATTAACGACAGATCTGTCGGATCACTTAGCGATAGTTACAACAATTAATCTTGATAATACATCCACCAGCAGTTACCGCTCCGCATCTTATAATCAAAATCCAACACAAACCAACGTACGTAGTTTTAATGAGGCCAGCAACCATAAATTTAGAGATTTAATAATGGAAGAAAATTGGTCTGTAATACTAACAAATACCCCTGATGCTAACCAGCAGTTTGATTGTTTAAATTCGGCTTACAACAGGATTTATAACGCTGCCTACCCGACAAAAAGACAGTCCGAGCGCAGACAAAATGAACGTGTTAATCCCAAACCATGGATACTGCCCTGGCTTGAAGAAGCTATAGAACGTAAAAATCAGGCATATCATGATTTTGTTAAGGAACCAGTTGATAGGAACCAGCTAAAATATGACCGTTTGAAAAAGTTTTGCACCGAACACGTTGACAAAGTCAAAAACATACACTAAAAAAAAAATAATTAAAAAAAAAAAATAAAATTAAAAAAAAAAAAAATAAAAAAAAATAAAAAAAAAAAATAAAAAATTAAAAAAAAAAATAAAAAAATTCTTTGAACAACACAAAGATAATTCTAAGAAGCAGTGGCAGATGATTAACGGACTTCTGAATAGGAAACCAGCCAAACCTACATCGATAAAACTGTCGGACGAAAACGGACAAGTCAGCACTCCGGCAGCAGTAGCAGAAAAATTTAATGATCACTTCTCAAACATCGCTCCAAAAATTAAATCTGAAATTAGTAGTAGGACCACTTTCGATCCTGGTGGGGCCCAGGGGACACTACGTAACCCTTCTCCAAATAGTATCTACATAAAACCAGTCACAACTACCGAAGTTCAAGACGTTATTAACCTATTTAAGAATAAAGCTACTCTTGACACCAAAATCCAACCACTCAAAATTGCCAACAGCTGTCATAATTTTACCACTGTATTGGCCCACGTTGTTAACAGCTCGTTCGAACAAGGGGTCTTTCCCCAAGCCTTGAAAACGGCAAAAGTAGTTCCTGTACATAAAGGTGGATCTAAAACTGACATCAAAAATTACAGACCGATATCTCTACTTGCCACTTTCTCAAAAGTCTACGAAAAGCTTATGCACAATCGAGTCATAAATTTCTTGGATACCTACAATATACTTTGTGAAAATCAATACGGCTTCCGCCCAGGTAGGTCTTGTGAACATGCACTTCTTAATGCTAAAGACAGAATCCTCAATTCAATGTCTAAAAAGCAAGTTACTTTGCTCCTCTTGATTGACTTTAGCAAAGCCTTTGACCTTGTGGATCACTCCATACTCCTGAATAAGCTCGAGCACTATGGCATAAGAGGTCTAGCTTTAAACTGGTTTAAATCATATCTTATGAACAGAAACCAGTTTGTATCAATTGGATCCTCTGAATCCTCAGCCAATCCAATTATTTACGGTGTACCCCAAGGTTCAATTTAGGGACCTCTCCTTTTTATAATCTACAGGGTGGGCCAAAAGTCAGTACCCATACGTTGGCCTTTATAGCTCAGTCACTGAGTGCCCAATTTAAATACTTCTTTCTGGTATGACTTAGTACCACCACTGGTTCGAGGAATTTGTCAACTCGAAAAATATTCGCGTTCATTTTTTTCAAATGGAGGTTCATTTTCACATTTATTTGATAGTTTGGATAGTCGGATCAAGCTAAATGTTATTGAATTGTGTTTGGCCATTCGAATTACGTTTGTCCTGAAAGAATTAGAACTGTAGCTTCTCAGATGACCGAGATATGAAGCATAACGAGTTTATTCATTACGTGTGATCAGGTGATTGGTTTACCTAATCACGTGATAAGGTCCCCCGTTAACTACCCCGTTAAACATTATGGGAATTGTTAAGGGTGCCCAATTAAGGTGTCGTGTCACGGTGTCACATAATCACCCAGTCAATTTTGTTAACGAGATACAGAAAATGCTTGATAACTTCGTCATTTCTAATCCGTTTTGCCTCATGTTTTCAGATCATATGCAACATTTGATAATCTACCGTCTCTGAAAAAATTAGGCGTTCAGCATGTTCAGAGAAAACAATATAGGTGTTTTAATATTGAATGGGCGTGGTCTAAAATATTCGAATTTTCAAATTTTGACGACGGAATCCTCGAACCAGTAAATACAGTATGCCATCTGCAAAGCAACAGCTCTCAAATATAAAACACGGCGGAGCTGTTAAGGCCAACGTATGGGTACTGACTTTTGG